ATGTTATTTTACTACCGAAGTTAACGTGACGGGAGTCGTAAATATTTCCCCCACTGTAGTGGCATTAACTGGAATAACGATAAACGTAAATTGCAGTGGAATTCTTTAATTTACACAGGTTCATATTGAAAAACTAATAGAATCGTTATTGCTCTTGGTCACGACACATCCGAAACGCTAACACACGTCGCGTTTACTGCTATTAGGCTACAATTCCGGCCATATGTTTATACTGGCGCTACGAACCGCGTAATTACAGTTTCCACCACTCAACTGTTAGCTTTTTACTCTTTATTGCCCCTAACTAGGTTAATAATAAGTGGTTTTATATTAGAACACTGTTATTGAGTATCGATTACATACAGATACATTTTTATGCTAAACTCTACAATTAATTAAACATTTATAAATCAACGTGACTTAATCTCTTTTGAATATCTATGCCCTCTGATGAAACGATAAAACAAAGGAAGTAGTACATTACCACTCGGAATAAATTAAAATATGAATCAGTTGGCTATCTAGTCACGGTACGGTAATTGAATTTTATTAATAACAGTGTAATAATAACTATTTTTAATGTGTGAACATAAGCATGTCGCACAAGTTCTCATTGTCGTATTACTTCATTATTGAGCATAAAAATTGATTTTATTATTAACAGTTACAGTTAAAAAAAACACATTCAACAAGTTGTGACAATGTTATAACACAGTCTCATAACCTATCGGTCACATTTCGTAGAGCTGAACAAATTCATTACCAATTCTCGCAAATTAACCGACTTGATTTAAATATGTTAATTTTATTGGTTAATATGATACATGGGCTATAATATACAATATATGAAACCGGTTACACTACGTAATTATGCTTATTAACAATTAATCTGATAAGAATGACCAAGCAGTTTATTAAAAAATTTATTAACCAATTAAGTAGTTAAAAACAGGTGAATATAAAATGTAGAATGTACTTATTATGTAAAGATACGCTGAACAATATTTGTGTTAATAATATGCTATTTATTTGAAATTGTAGAGCGGATTATTTATATATATAATTATATTAACACTGGGTCTACAATAACATCTTTATGTAACATTTATATATCGTTTTATTGCTGCAATTTTAAATTAGTTCGTTCTTTGATCTATAAGTTTTGCGAACCAGTAGTACTTTAGATTTTATTATATTATTCACTGAACTTCCACTTGTATTGCCAAGTAACATGTGTAGAACGTCCTCCTTATCACTGACTATTTTATGAATAGTAACATGTGGAAACTTATGTTTACAACAATTGATGTTGAACGGTGGTTACTTTGTTTCTTAATGTGTTGATACAAAGTAAGCTTTATTGACGGTGATTGCATAGGAATAAGTGACAAAATGGTCGGCTCTTTCGATTCGTAACCATCGCATGTTCTAAAGTCGGCCTGTTTGCTATGCAACAGCCGTCACAGCGAACGAAACTTTGTATGCCGCGCAGAATCCAGGTCATGAGCAAACAATTCTCGTGCTAAATATTCACACCAGATATGTATTTAGAGGTACACTCTGTTTTATTACATGTTTTCACAATAAATATTTACTTAGTTTAAAGTTGTTTGTCCTGTCGATTATAAAAGAAATTGATAAAGTCAATATGGTTATTATACACTGTGACAATGACGACGTTCATTTAATTCCGTTGTGTTCCTCTACAGTCGATGAAATTGCAAGGTCTTGCCTTTGATGTAATGGTATCTGTAATGCGCCATTGTTGCCGTTTATTTATTTGTTCAACTTTGTAGTGAAGATTGGCAAACAGAGGCCGACCGCAAAATGTTAATAATGGAATTCTACAATAAATTACCGAAGCTGTATGAATTATTCATGGAGTAAGCCGAACTCAGTGTACACACGCGAACCCCTGCCCCATACCTACGTCTGTCTTTTTATAAGCGCCGCTTTGTCCTTTTCAAAGATTTGCTTCTGAATTGTGTTCTTTTTCAACTACGCTACTCTTTGGATTTTGTGTATAAAGTATTTAATAATAATTCAAGGTTCATAATTTTGCTGTGCATTTATCAACATTTCGTCCAATAGAGACCCTACTCCGTTGTCGGCGTTACAACATCACCGCGAGCTATGAACGCGGGCCGCTGTTTGAACTTTGCTTCGAGACGAAATTCTCCTTGAATTTTAAGTCCTATCCTATTAAAAGTTTGTGCAAGTATTAGAATTTCGAATGAGGGGCGAAAAGCTATCACGCCGTTTTTTCCGGCTCCCTCACTCCGTAACAACGGGCAGGAGGGGAGTGGCACCCGCCCTGGGGCTGGGATCGCGAGATTATGCTTCGCTATCTGTTTTGAATTCGTAATTTGTATATAATTAATTCAGAAATTCCCAACTCATTTCGAAAGTTATTAATTGTTTCTAAACGCTCATGAAATGGGCACAATAATAGCTGAAAGCTAACGTCAAGTTTTATTACTAACTATAAAATAGTTTAACGATTTAACAAATGGATATTTGAATGAAAAGATAATTTTTCATAACACAAGACACAACAAAAGTGTATGTTCGATATAACGACGGTGTTAATATTCGTGTTTTATTTTGACAGCGTTGACTAATGCGCTCGTTTATTTTTATTGCGGTGTATTTGTGTCGCGCGTGTTCTGCTCGCTCGCTGAGGTGGGCTTACGCCTCGCGGTCGGCTACTCGCCGTCTGTCGCCCGTCGCCAACGCGACTATTATTACTCGCCGACACGACATCACTCATCGCACTAATATCTCGCTGATTATCTATTTTAATAATGCAACCTCGCTTTGACAGCCCGCCAACAACGTTCACCGACATTGACAGACGGACAGCCCCTATTTTCTTGTTACTTTATTCATTCTCTGTAACGAGGGGAAAACAACTAAATATCATTTGAAAAGAAAATGTTTCTTTTTATTTCCGCTTTGACGTGAATAATTATTTTGGATTATTTTATTTTTATTCCTAAGCTATTTGACAACTTTATGAAAGCAAATTTATGAATTTGTTTTTGATGTCATTGTCGAACATTAATTTATGGTTCAACTTCATTATGTATATGTAGTAAATATACCATTTTCTACAATAACAAAACTTGGCTGTATGTTTGACACTTTGAGCTACCTAACACAGAAAAAGATTAGAGACAGCTGTGTCAAGAAGTCGCGGCACCTTTGCATATTTTATTGAAGAGAGGACGACTAGGCGTCGCGCACGGAGCCGCCGCCGCCGCCGGCACGCGCGACCCATACTTGATTTATCACTCCATTGTTGCGGAGCGACGACCTTCCCTCCCCGGATAAGGCTAAACATTCAATTGCCGGAACGCTCCCGAAACGATTTGTTCCTTCCATACGATCGATTGACTTTCTTCCGGTCACTCTTCGATATTTAAGTGGATCTGTTGAAATCTAAATAGGATTTTCCGTAAAAAGGATTTTGTCGTTGAGGAGCAACCTTTGACATCGTTTATTTAAAAGAGCTAGCTACTCTTTATTCATCTTCTTATTGATGTACCTTTTCGTTTAACTTTACACTACTCTAGGATGCGCGTAAATGTTTTACCTGACGTAATTTAAGCATCTGTCGTTTGTGAAGTCGAAGTTGTAAGATTTTACAGCTATAATTTAGGTCCAGAAGAAAAGGACGCAGTGTCCGGATTGAAGAGACAATGGCACTTAGATTGCGTCCGTCGTAAACGGCGCGGTTACCCAGCTAGTTTTATTGAGCCATTCTCTCGCCCGCTCGTAAATATCCCCAAGTAATTACTTTCCATTCCCCCTTAAACACTCCGGGCTTCGTTGCAGTAAATAAATAAAAGTCTTCAGAGAAGTTACTCTGTTTCACGCCTAAAACATGAGAATTTTGTTGCCTCAGCATGTTTTAAGTTATAAAATTTGGTTTGCTTCTTTGTTGAGAATGTGAACTCTCAGTTTCTTAAATCTTGGAACTGTTTCTATTTTGTTTGTTATTTTAGGCAAAGATATTTAATAATAATAATAACGCACACACTCAACATAGCCCCGCAAGGTAAACCCTGGGTCGCGGGTGCCATGGATGCACACATAGACAACCGCAAATTACACCCAAACTCACAAGAGAAATAAATGTAGGCAATAAATATTTCTCCCTGCCCGGGAATCCAACCTGGGACCTCTGCGTGGCAGTCCGGCATGGTAACCGTTCGGCCACAGAGGCAGTTCAAATTTGACATTTAAGACTCTTTCAATAAAAAACTTTATGGGTATTACACCAAATTTACCGCAAAGTATCGAGACGTCTGGGATAGTGAAACCTTTGTGTAATCAAATCTATTATTCCTAGTGTATCTTTATTGAACTAGCAAGTAAGCCATAAATATTTGATAGATTATTAACTATAATTTTAGAAATCATACGCAAACAAATATTCGCCAGCGCCAGGTTATAGATATAAATGTATAATATATATTTGTATAATTTTACCATTAATGTAAGCAAAGAGCTTTATGTGATCGACGTGATTTCATCTTTATTTAAGGAATACAAAATGCCAGTGGGCGGTATTATGCGAGGCTAGAACAATAGTCACACATAAGTAGAATGCTAATAATAACCACATTACATTAAACAGCGGCTCGCTGAGACAACTGTACAAGTCCAAAACTAAGCTTTGGGATAATTCCGCTTCCGTGTCATGAGCATTGTATGCGAGTACAAGTTAAACCGCTATGTCACTATCTGTGTTATCTCGACCCTTGTGTAAATCATGCCCGCCTCTAACGTCACCGTATCTTTTCGGACCCTGCGACCCTTCCCTTGTCTTCCTTTACCTCTGTCCGAGACAGGTAAACTCAATTCAATTACACAAAGGCCCCTAGTTAAGGAATCAATCACGAGACATTTTTATGCTTAATTTTTGATTCGATTAATTATATTGTCTGATTTTTTGACAGTGGTTCTTAATAATTTTTTTTTTTGTTTTGTTGCAGGCAAGCCCAGAAAACAGTAGAAACGCTTCACCAAGATACCACGATGCATCAATGGAAGATGTAAGTAGAGAAACTGCAGCTGTACTTACATTGTGTATATATTAGAAATCATTGATTTCGGCAGGGAGTTTTCAAAAATAATATACACAACACTTATAATTTTATTACTGCCTTAAAGTTACTAGACTTGAACGATATGTTAACCGATTGTGCCCTTGTGATGTTCCAGGCATCGGAAGCTGGCGCTCTGTTCCGGGTGACAAGCGCGGGCGGCGGCAAGAACGAATTAGTGGCGCGGGGCGGCAGCGGCGGCGCACTAGCGCTGTCGCGGGCGCCAGTGGGCGGCAGCGCCAGCCCCGCGCCCGCTCCACTGCCGCAACCCGCGCCGTCGCCCGCGCCCGCCGCGCTACCGCCACCCGCGCCACTTCCTCCGCCCTTCCGAGCCGACACGCCGCACCGCAACAACGGTGCACACATCCCCACGTTGGAGTCACACGCTGCGGCCACACAAGTGCCGCGACCCGTGGCAGGACCGGACACACCCGAGCGGCCCGCCAGCAACAACAAGCTGCAGCCGGGCGCGCGCGCCGCTGCCGACAGCCCCACGCCTGCGCCACCGGCGCCGCCCGCTCCATCGCCGCTCTTTCCTTCACACACCGCGTACCAGGCGCACGCTGCCGACTATCGTCATACAAATCATGAGGCGCGCACGGAACCCGCGCCGCCCGAACCGCTCGCCGCGCCTGCAGCTGCTACGGCCACAGCCACGGCCGCCGCACCGCAGCCGCCCGCGCCCTTGGCGCCACTCGACCTGCACGCGACGCGTCCACCACATCCTACTAGTCTCCCCGGCCGTGGTTCGCACCCACCGCTGATTGCGCCGCACCCCGTAGTGCCCGGTCACGACGGGCGGGTCGCACCTGTCTCCTCGCACTCTTCCGTTCCTGCCCCGTTCTCTAGCCGCGTGGCCGGCGCGCCCGCGGGTCCGGCGCCGTCAATCGGCGCCCTGCCGACCAGTCTTCCGAGTCAATCGCTACCCGGCCGACCCGCCTCTCCGGCGGGACCCGTGTCACGCTCCTACCCCACCCCGACAATCGGGTCTAGTCATCATATTAATTCCAGCCTGAGTTCCAGTATTCCCAATCACGCTTTGGCGTATCACAGTCAGTCGAGTTTACAAAAACATTCCGTACAATCGGTGTACGCGAGCCGACCTTCTCATCTGACACCCTTCAGTGTCGCCAATCATATATCATCGCATCATATCCAGGCTTCACTGGCGAACCAGCCAACCGCCACGCATTTGGGCCACCCAATAAACAGTCATTCCATTATGAACCATACAAGTCACCTTCCTATGCATACTTCCAATTCTTTACCGATGTCGTCACCGAATCACATCGGTCTGCCTTTTTCGACTGCTCCTGCTACGATTCCGAACTATACGCCCAGTATAAAGCACCCGGGGCTCAGTTTACCTCCTCACTCTATCCCTCTTGTGCCACCTGTATCACTACACGCGTCTGTCAATCACATAGATTCTTTGCCGTCGTCTACTGCTCCTGCTGTCGTCACATCGGTGGCGAGCAGCGGCAATGTTCCACTGGCACCTTCTGTAGTAGATTCGAGGCAACCTTCTGTCATGGACTCGAAACAAAGTTCGATCTTGGACTCTAGACAACCGCCTGTGATAGACTCGAGGCAGCCGTCGTTATTAGACTCGTCAAGACAACCGCCAGTAGTAGTCGACTCGAGGCAAGCACAATCAGTGGACTCGAGGCATCAAGCAGCTAACGACCCGCCTGCACGGAGTGAGGCACCGACGTTGTCGTCACTCGCGACAAATGGCTACCCCCCGCCAGCTGTCTACTCCGGTCCCCCCTATCCACCACTCTACGCGCCATATGCTACTACATTGCAACACAGTCCCTACCTACCGGCTGCTGCTGCCTCGCCTAGGAATGCTACTGACACGGTTAGTTTTATTTAAATAATTTGCAGTAATTAATCCTATCATAGCTTATGTAGAGTAATCTCCCGCATTCTGCAAACCATGATTGTAGATTTTTAGTAGTATAAACTCTTATATTGTGGTTTATTCCTTTTAGAGGACGAGTTTATCATCATCACCTCTGGTGGCACCGAAGACGCCTAAAGGTGTCCGACCACACACACCCGGTTCGACAGGAGCAGCTGGCGCGCCACACGCACCTATCTCGTACTCTCCTCGGGGCCACAGCCCCAGCAGAGAACGCGAAAGCTTCAGGTTTGTATTTACTAATCATTTCTTTAAAGTTATATTAGGTTTGGCTCTTCATGCTGTGTATTTACGTTTTCACTGTATGTATTAATAAGTGTGTGTCGTTCATTGCCACAGTAATATCAGCAGCCTGTCGCGCAGCACTCCAGCGTCGGCGCCTGTGTCGTCGGCTGCGGTTGTCTCGTCGCTTGCCCCGCCCCTTGCGGCGTCACACGGCGCACCCCACGTAGCACCTCTCGCGGCACCGCTTGTGGTTGGAAATTTAGTTTCTAATAAAATTAATATTTCGGTTCTCAAAATCTTAACGTCCTTTTTGAACGGTCAATACCCAATACATATTGCCTATAAAAAAAAGCCTATAAAAATTGCAAGTTCAAAAGCTCAAACCTATCAGATGAAAAAAAAGAAATATTTTAATTACCTTACTGGATAAAACACGAAACTCAACTAGAATAAACATAATAATAATAATGTGAACATTTGAATTTTTCAGCCGCTGGGAGCGCCACTCGCGCCGTCTCTGGTCCCGGGACTGGGCGCACCACTCACCACCCCGCTGGCTGCGCCTACACCGACTCCCGCCGCGCCCAGCGCGCCGCATCTCGCACACTCGTTGGCGCCCGTGCCTACCGTTCCCAGTATCAGCTCGAGCGCAAAACCACCTGCGCACTGGGGAGTAACGTGAGTGCTAACTTACACAATACTACTGTTGTCCCACGCTCAAATATTTGACAATTATATATGGCACATTGTACTGCGCCGCGTCCATAGCCGTCACAAGACTTAAAAGTTTGTATGCAAATACACTCCTGGACACATAATTCGAGCCACCTTGCATTTTTATCCAGGCTAGAATATAAAAACATGGTTATCGTCGAAGAAAAAGTTTTCTCCGGTTTTTTAAATTCAAATTTTCAACAACAAAGTAACGTTTAGTATATACCAATTTTAAAGTTGCATAATAGTTCTTGATCAATTAAGCATTGTTTAAGGTACGGGCATTTAATATTGAAAATGCAAGGTGGTTCGAATTATGTGTCCGGGAACTTATTTTACGCAATCGCTAGCGACAACTGCCACTGTATAGATATAGACAGAATCGTAGACATGTAACAATGACTTTTTTATTCATTTTCCATAATTTCAAAATGTCAGTGGCGTCGATTCGGGTAAATAGTAAACTTAATGTCTATCAATCATCATCAGTGCCTTAGTCTTGTTATCGGTAAGAAAAAGAATGATTTCGTTTTAGTAAGTAAAGTTATTTTGATTGGATACCGGGTGTACTTTACTATTATTACTTACGTTGCTCTGTATCCCCCAGCAGGGCCGGTGCGGGCGAGCGGCCTGCGGCGTTCGCGCCCGCTCCGCCTCTATTCGGCGCGCCGCTACCACCGCCAAATCCCAATCCTTTTTCCGCAGAGTCGCTCTTTCAGACCAGTAAGTATTACAATAAGCTAGGTTTACCAGTAAACATTTTGTACGGTGTGTATAGAATCGCCGACGGCTATATGGAATGTTGAATACGAGTAAAAACGTCCTAATTCGTAATAATTCCATGTTCGATTATTTTTTCAGGCCCAGGCGCAGATTTATTAAGGCGCGAGTTGGACAATCGGTTCTTAGCGGCGGCAGGCGCTGCAGGCGCGGTGGGCGCACCGGGCGTGGGCGGGGTCTCACGCACAGAGCTCCACCACCACCAGCACCAACACACCCACGTGCACCAGCACCCTCCCACCGGACCACCACACCATCCTCCGCATCACCATCAACTACTCATGCCACACGCGCCACTGGTAGCATACTTTTCCTAAGCGTCTCTAAATGTACCTCAATCAGTACGTAATTTGTTAACTTGATCACGATCAAAGTAATAATGACTTGCGACATCGTGGTTATCATGTCGAGCATATTCGACAAATACGTGAATTATCTGTTACTTTAGTTAATATGTCCCGATAGTTTCTATTTAAAATTGTAATTATAATTTTATTATTATGTTCGTATCGTCATTGAACATGCCTTTTGATTGAGAACGAAGACACTAACACGTATTATATTGCATATACAGATAATTATTTGAAGTCATAATATGACGTTAAAGGTTTTTTTTTATTATAACAAGTGACGGGACGAACAAGTCGTGCACCTGGTGGTAAGCTACACGCCTGTACATAACAGTTGCAGTGCCACTCAGAGCTTTAAACCGCAAAGATCTGAGGGGCACTGCCACTGCGACTGACACCCTGAGACATAAGTTGACAAGTCACATATGCCGTAATTTCACCAACACCCTTACCCTTCAAAAACCGGATCGCAGTAATGCTAACATTATTGTATGTGAAATACGCTATCCAACATGAAAATGAAAACTTTTTTAAATGTATTTGTTTTTCTTTTTTTCAGTTCAAGGACGTGGGCAAAATGCCTTCCCTGTACCGCACGGGCCTTGGCCTCGGTTATCCGTACACATCCAGCCTGCTGCACCCCCCTGCGCCCTATGTGCCTCCCGCGCCGCTCACCACTTACGCGCCCAAGGTATTATGCCATTCACTGTACAGATGCCCTTTTTTCCGTCACGCGGATTATGCACCGCATGCGTATTTAATGCGTGTTTAGTTGGTACTTTCGCTGACAACCCGCGTCATTGTGCGCGTCCCGTGAGATAATAAACATTTATCTGAAAACTGTTAATGCTGTATATTATAGACCAACAAAGCTAATACGTGTGCGGAGACAAATCCATGTATAGATAAACGCCCAAAATATCAACTTTCACTGTCGAATATTGCAAGTTTTATTTCTATGAAAATAGAATTAGGTTCTATTTTCAATGGAGATTTTTTTTATTGTTAACATCTAGCTATACGTTCTTATTTTAATATCTGGCATAATGTTCACAATTACATATTTCTTAAGCTTACTTTAGTGGATTTTGGTCTCTTCCTTTTCAATCGATTCCTTATAATCATTAGTTTCTCATTTTAATTTTGTAATAATTAAGTATTGAAACAGCTGGACTAAGGGGAATTTATAATTAATGTACTGCAAAATTGAGTCTAAAAATATTTATTGTGTTTATTTTATTCTTTAATGTATTCCAATATAAATATACTTTGCTCAAGGTCATTTTGACGTTGAAACACATGGTTTAACTTTAGATACGGTTTTTGTAGTAAAACCTTTTGCAATTTAAAGGCCACGTTCTTCAATTAGACGTATTTGTGACTGTACAGCTTCGTGCTTACGTTGTTTTGTGTTGCGTGTTCATTAACCCTTCATGGCGTCATGTTAACAGCCCGTAGTGTCATCTGCAAGCGACCCCGCCACTAAACAACCACCACGCCCCGCTGTCGCGGTAGGTTCTCTTCACCACTTCATATTCTCTGCATGCTTTATTATACTTTCTTTTATTTTGGCTGCATTTATTACTTACAAGCTTATATTTCTTTTCATATTAACGATATTAAGTTTGGAACCATACAAACTTAGCATGTCGAAAGCGCTGCTCAACCGAGCACTAATTGTAGAGTTTCTGCAAAATTGAACAATACCTCAACTTAGTAACGGCTCCTGCCGGTTATAATTGCGTACAAGTGAGATGAAAACTTACATTTAGTTCCATATAAGGTCAAATTACGAAGTGATTGCTTTCGATAAGAAGCGTAAACGTAAACTGACCATTGCAGAAGACGGGAAAGTGGAACGCGATGCACGTACGAATCGCGTGGGAGATCTACAATCACCAGCAGAAAGAGAAATCTGGCGGCGCTGCTCCCGCCGCCGACAAGGACAAGCTGCGCGCCTTCCCTGCGCCCGCACCGCCGCCACCTTACCGTTCGCCTTACGAGCTGCCGCCCGCGCCCTACTTGCCACATCACCCGCATCTAGGTAGCAACCGCAAATAACCTTATCTCACTCGTAGTCAGTTGCGGAATTCCCTCCACTCGGCATATACTTTCTGTTATAAAATCTAGTAACGAAACGACAAAAATTTCAGGTGTATCTCCGTTCGCGCGGTACGGCGCCGGCGCGTTTCCCGGCGCACCGACCGCGTTCGGTCTGTCGGCATACGGGCGGGACCTGGCGCTATCGTCGTCGCTGCACGGCGTGCATCACGCGCCGCCGCTGCTGCACGACGCGTGGCGGCTGCGCGCGCCCGCGCCCGTCGCCGCCGCGGAGGCGCGCAGGGACCAGGAGGAGCGCGAGCGGGCGCGCCGCGACAGGGAAGAGCGCGAGCGGCGGGACCGCGAGGACCGCGAGCGCAGGAAACAGCGCGAGCGCGAAATGGAGCGCGTGCGGACGAGGTCGCCACTCCGGAACGGCGCGCCCGAACCTCCCAAGGTAAGCCCCCCGCGTATGTTTACTTATTGTCCAGTCGGTATCCTCTGTCTGAACCTTACATATAACAGTGTATTCGTTCTGTCTGCTTACCAATTCCTTCATTATTCCCAGGATGAGCGTAAGGAGCCGCCGCGACCACCCCCGTCGCTGCCGGCGTACCCCCCACCGCCGTGGGACCCGTACCGCGCCTTCGACCCTCTGCAGCACATGCGATTCGCTCCCATCGTGGAGGCAGCCATCCGCGCCGAGGAAGATCGCGCCAAAATGCTAAGCGCATACGCGCACCACTCGCAGCTGAAGGCTGGCCCGCTGCTGCACAGGCCGCTGCCGCCACACGGACCGCTGCCGCCGTTGGGCGCGCACGCGTCTCTCGCGCCGTTGCCGCCTCTAGCACCCCCGCTGGCGCCGCTCGCCCCGCTAGACCTCCTCAAGAAAGAGGAGCCGCGATGATAGCGCCGCCTCGCGACTTGTACAGACACTAGGGTAAACGACGTTGCAAGTGAGAATACGACTAATTTAAATGTATATCGTTTGGTATTATCGGTTTAGAAAATTAATTTATTGTAACGTCGCTTGCAAATGACGGTCGCTAGTCCCTCGCCGCCCTTTCGAAGTAGAGTAATAAATATTATACGGTTTATTAGTGGAATGAGTACGGCGAGCGAGGAGCGGAAGCGGGGCGAAGTCCGCGGGCACTGTGCAATATCGGGCACCAGCGGGCGCCGCACTGTACACTACTGCTTGTTTATTTACATGAGAATATCTATCCAGTTGTTATTGTGACCATTATTAGTTAATTATACATCAAATTGCTGATTATGTGAATGATAGGGTTATCAGAATCGCTATCGATATAATTATACATATTTATACATACCTATAAATAAAATGTAAATATTAGCTTGTAAATTAGTGTTAAAATATAGAATCGGTTTATTTAACGTCTTACAAAGGAAAAATCCCATAAATTATTATTGTACCGGGAGTTTAGTTTACACTTCCGTTAAAAATCTCAATGGATTTTCTATTGTACCAGTGGAGTTTTATTTATTTATTTATGCTCCTGTCACTGGAGAGATGTGAACTAAATCAATACAATTTGTGTTACAGCAGTTGATATTTCAGTTGATGCATTTAAAAGTATGTGATATTATTGTATTGTGAAATACATTTTGTCTGACTTCAAAAGTAGTGTCTATTCTCAGGTAATATAGATCTAATAATTATTATTGCAGTAATGTTCAAAGTTGTATAAAAATAATTAATAAATGGTAACATTATTTTTAAATTTTCGAACAACTGGGCAATGTTAAAGTATTATTTAGCAAAATCAGGGAACTCGCATGTGCCATTTCAACAATTTATTAGGGCATTGAGTCAGACAAAATTGGGTGTAGAATCTGTCTTGGTAAGGGCACGTTTTGGTGATTTGTGTTCTAAAAATCTCATAAGTGCGACTCAGAAGTGTATTATAGTTTATACAAAATCATTCTGTATACTAAAAAGTAAATGAAAGCTTGGTGCGATTCAGAAAATACCATTAAAACTTTTGATTTTTATACCAAGACGCTGTTTATTGATTTCCTTGTCCTAACAAATACAGCGCTTGTGCAGTGCATATGACAGTTCAACCTGAAAAAACGAATCAATTTCGGATGTAGACAGAGCTTGGAAAAAGTCTGTCTAGCGGATGTCAAATGAACTGACGCTGTATCCACACAAAACTTATATTTTATTTTTGTCACGAAGCATGAGTACAGTGACGTTTGGGGATTGGATGTTCTGAATAATATTATGTAATTACTATTGAATGAAAAAAAAAATCGATTGAATTTCGAGATAATAATAATGAGGAAAGAATCTAACTCCAGTTCCACAGCTCCCGGGTTGGCGCAATATCAGGTCAGTCCCTTAAATAGACGTCCAAGTCGTTCATGAGCAGGCTAACTAAAAAAAAATGTCACCAAAAAAACAACAAATCCAGAAGTGATATGAAACTAAATACAGCAAAAATACCACGCAAAGCTAGTACAGATGCGAGGTACACGACAAGAAGGGTTGCCGCAGATGTGGGATATAATGACATCTGCCATTGCGGACGCGGATGCGAATTTTACATAATTATGTCAAATCTGTAGATGCGGATGTGTGAAAAAAATAGTTTGTATTAGAATAAATCGCACATGAAACCAAATACTGTCGTAATTCAAAATTGTGGAATTGAAAAAATATCATTTGTAAGTTCAAAAAATTACTGAATATAGCCAAGTTTATATAGTAGTTTAGAATAAAAAAATAATCCCATAATTCTCAGTAAGATCTACTCAGTTCTTTTTTTTTTTTTCAAATCGTGTTTTCTCAATTTCACCATTTAAGTGTTACGACAGGATTTGGTTTCCTGCACGAAATGCGGATCAAGTTTAGTGATAATTGATTATTAAAGTAAATATAATCATTTTGCATGGTTTTATGAGGACAGACAATCGAAATATTTAAAAAAAAGTAATAATAAAAAATTACGACATTTATTTACTCAATCTTAGAGCGTACAACACGAAAACGCTATAAATATTATTTCTCAAAAAACCGACATGTTTTGAGGGGCCGATGGGCGGGAGGTACTACTACAAGCAAGCAGGTGCACTCAAATGCAATAATAGTGTTGTGCCACTATATCTCAGACAAACAAAATTGGACGACACCAGCTGGTGTACAAATACACAAATAAAACACACATTCATTATATCATGTCATTACGACGTGATATAATGAATGAACTCGATTCCGATTTCCATGCCCATAGAACAATTATTTTGCCCGATATTAAATGATTGAATAATGAAATATTGAACAAGTAGTTTATGTATAGTATCATTTCGTAACGAGTGTTAATGCTTCATCTAAACATTATACTTCGATGTTAAATAAATAATGATATTAAAACGGTAACATTCATTCACATTCACTGAAAAGGGCTTTAGGCAGTGTGTGAAATGAAATTATTTATTAGTATAGGCATAGGTTCCCAAACTGTTTTGGCGCACCGCCGACTTAGGCAAGATAAAAAAATATTAACCCACCACCACAATAAGTAATTGAAAATACGTATTTTTTATATTAACACAAAAAATCACAAGGAAAAAAAATTATATATGTAGTGTAGTTTATATAGATAATTTAGATTTTTTTTTCAAATGTGTATGCGATAGCACTTCCTGGACACCATCAACGCCCCCCAATTGCTTCCGAGGCCCCTATGCGGTATGGACCACTTTGGGGAACTATGGTATAGGTTGTAAGTACTCATACAAACAAAAACAACTATGGCAGCTCGGCTCGAAACCATAACCGTTGCGTGATGTAATTGTTCAAAGTTATGAATTTTACATGGCAATGATGGAATTTTAACTTTTAACTATTCTATTATCTTGAAATGATTACGATTTCATAGTAATTAATTGAAAATAAGTGTTACGTCTTAAGTGATATTCCAAGTTAGATTTGTGCCTTGTGAAAATTCATAGCTTTGAATTATTATAAATATCTCTTAATGGTTACGGTTAAGAGACGAGCCCCAATAATGTTATATCTGTGCTCATAAATTAACTTTTGTTTGTGTGAATATCTCGTACAATATGATATGAATTTTATTTGTGGACAGCGTGTTTTAAAAAGGGCCCAAAAACACGCATTGCCATTTAAATAATAATTGATATTATATTTATTTCAGCTCTTGACATTCAAAATTTAAATTCAACTCTATATCGCTTACGATAACATGGTTCAAGGTGTCCAGCTTGACGTGCTCTTGATTGTGCTTCACCTTAAATTTTTACCTTGCATCAGCTCTGCAGTGTACGCGATTAAAAAGAGTACATACGAAACCTTTCCGATGTAGAAAACGCTACATTGGTTTATTTTGGCTTATTCGCACTTAACAACTTTATCGATATCGACATTATAACTTTCACAGCGCAGTAGTAGTTCCCTGGGGATTCTCATTGTTTTTGTCTCACGAGGGGTGCGTTTACGTGAAATTCAAGATTAAGCGGAGAATTCATTATAACATGACCTTTTAGATTGATAATTCAATATTTGCATAGTGTTCAAATGTGATCATGGTGGAAAAAAGACGTTAAAACAGAAAACTATGAATATTAATACAAGAATATACTTAGGTATGTATGTGGAATGTAATTCCACGTGTGGCTAGACTGGATGCAGCAGAGTTTTTCTACAAGTTTGCACGGCGCACGGCTTATTTCATGGAGCATTCGACGCGATGGATTCGATAGTGGAAGTGGAAAAAATCGATTCAAAAGTAGTTTTTACTGTGCGGTGGTATTTTTTACTTGTATTATTGTGACTTAAGTTTTAGAGAATAAGAGTCGTATTCTAGAATTCTACTCAATGTCTGACAAATCCATTGGAATCGATTTTTTCGATATAAATGTTTATTTTTTATCTGTGTGTTTGTAAAAGTAGCGTGTCTTATTCCAGCGTGACAATGGTCGAGTTTCAAATTTGACATGCCAGATAAAAAATTTGCTATTTAGTCGGTTTTAGTCGCAAAAGTTAAAAGGACGTTTTACTGTCCACGCTGGAATAAGCTTACTTCAGCGGCACCATTTCTCCATCACGAATACCACAATACCTAGCTTAGATGTAATTATACTAAAAAAAGTAGTAATTTAGTCGGTTATAGCCGTAAACAACTACAGCCTTGGCCAAAAGTATTGAGCACCCATGATAACTTACAGTTTTTTGGGGAATATGAAAATGGAATAATTTGAAACAATTTATTCATGTTAATATTACCATTTATTCAATAAAAATCAATATTTTGTAGGTCCACCCTTTGCCTTAATTACGGTAGAAATTCGTTTTGGTAGAGAGCGGACAAGATTTTTACAGTCTTCAGGATGTGTAGCGTTCCATTCTTGGCGCAGACGGCGTTTTAATTCTTCCATTGTGTTTAGTTTAGTGGCGCCTGACGTTGCGCTTTAATAAACACCACAAATGTTCTGTGGGTTTTAGGTCCGGAGACTGGGCAGGCCACTCTAGAAGCTCAATGTTCTTTTCTCGAAACTATGTCATAGTGTAGGCAGATTTATGACACGGCACGTTATCCTGCTGGAATTTATCGCGATCCATATTTGTATCGCCAAAAAGGGGTGAAAATGAGGGCAGCAACGCAGATTCCAGGACGTTAACGTTAACGTATTTTGAAGAGTTCATGCGGCCCTCACACACGAACATTTCGCCAATTCCTGAATCAGTCATGCAACCCCAGACCATTATGCTAACTCCGCCGTGTTTTAATTTGGTACTATACAAGCTGGACTAAATTCTTCGCCTACCCGGCGGCGGACGAAAGTCACACCAGGTGTACCAAAAGTCTGAAATTTAAAAAAAATAGAGACTTCGGAAATGTAAAATATTTTTGTCATTGAATTTTATTTTCAAATCGTATTGTTTATATCTTTAGAACGTGAAATTACCTAACTCACCTCAAAGTTTGACTCGTCTGCCCACACGATGTTTGACCACTCTTCTTAAAGGCCTATTCATACCGAACCTTTTTGTTGTTTTGTGAAAGCCATGGTTTCTTCCTAGCTTTACAGCCTTTCAGGCCTGAAGCCTTCTTCGAGTAGTGCGAGCAGAAATGATCTCTTAATTTCAATTGAGAAATCAGCAGCGAGATCTGAAGATTGTTTTCGATTTTTTTAACAACTCTCTCATTAACTTTCGGTCCTCACGATCTGTGGTGATGCGATTGCGCCCTGTTCTGTGTCTGTTCCTATGAGATCCAGTAGCGGCGAATCGCTCAATAGCATATTGCACAGATCGGTGCGAACATTTAACATTAACAGTTTTTGAAATCTCTACCTGTGATTTCCCTTGCTCATGAAGAAGCTGTATTTGCACACGTTGTTCTAAACTAAGTTCGTTTCTTTTAGGCATATTGCAACAATGTCACTAAATGTAACTACACAATTCACCAAAAGCCCACTGGATCACTGAATGTGGACGTAACGAGCGATAGTAGTGAACTGAGAAATACATACAAAAATGGTAAATGACAAATTTTATGGTACCAGGTGTTCTGTTGCTAGTTGCGATGTGGTGGTCATTTTTTTTTAAACCTTTATAGTTGCCGAAAAAATAATCCTTAACAATAGGACCTGTTTTCTGCAATACTTATTGTGCACGTTCGGGATTTTTAGGGTGCTCAATACTTTTGGCCATGGCTGTAGATTAATCGTTACGCGCCGTTTTGAAGTTATTAAGGTGTTTTACTTTACACGCTGGAATAAGCTCATTCCGGCGGCACCATTTTTGAATGTTGAGAATCACAGCTCCTATCTTAGATCTGATTGCACCTAGAAAAAGTCGTGAATTAGTCGGTTCTATCTTTTTCGTTCTATCTAGTCGCGAAATTTTAGAATTAAGCGCTCCTTTGTTTAGAAGATATTGGATATTCAATTATTTTCATTAATAGGTACATTTACGTACAAAAATCGTAAACATAATGAAAAATGTATATCTAAGGAAAGCCACGGCTCCTAATGTTCGTTGTGGAATCACTCAAGATACACTCGCTGCTTGTGGTAGGACAGAACCCTCCCCATAGAATATTTAATATTCTACCGCCCCTCGAAGAAAAGCTTTGTTAGAGAAATAACGATTATAGCGTCTCCCGTGTTGTATACTCTAAACATATAACGTCTCTAGTGTTGTAATCTCTAAATTATACACTGTAAAACGAATTTAGCTATTCAAAGAATAAAAAACATGTCTTCTCTTATTATATTATATGTATGCATGCTCCGCAATTTAAAAATATAGTTTCACTAGTTTGCTGGTTATGTAGAAGTTATATTTTTAGCGCCTGGAAAAAAAACATAAACATACAGGGTGCCCCACGGCGTAGCGACACGGAGGAAAGTATTATTAAAATGAAAAAGTTGCTTGTCTCACCTATTAATCGAACCTATTATATTATATGAAAAAAAAATTTACTACTATGATCAATACTATGTTACTTAT